TACCGAGGTCCATTGAAACAGAGTAAACCAGTTTTCAAGTCCCTGAACCAGTTCCCTCCCAGAACAGTGACACCTAGCGTTCATTCTACATACGCAGCTAAACTAGAATATGTAAATGGTGATTTAGGTAATATTCATATAACAAGCTATGATATATTAAAGATATATTATGCTCAAATTTGATGTAAAAATATAGATAATTACTACACACTCTCTTTGTAAAGTCGATATATGTAATGTTTAAAATTCTGTCACAATATGAATATATAGTGTCATTAAAAAACTGGCATTTTTTTTTAAAGAAAAGAACTTTACTTGACATGTTATTGGGAACCCAGCTTTCCATACATAATTTATTCATTCTTTTATTCAAATTAGACATCAGTAAGAATTTCATAGATTTCAATAAATTTCTGTGATTAAAATATTTTACTAAAGGATGAGCATAGTGTATTTTTAATAAAAATAAAGTTAAATTTGTCAATTATTTATATCCCATACATTCTTATATAATTATTTAATAAATGAATTGATAATCAATCTGCATAGCTTTGAGGCTATGAAAAGTGTTGCAATTATGATACATACAAACATGTTTTACAAATGCATTTATCTTATGTATTTAATGTGTTGAACATGTTTTGTTATTTTACATTTTACATAATGAACTTAAATGTCATGCTTGCAAAGTTGGGTCATAGAAATGTATAAATTGCAGTGTTAATTAAAAAATTACAATTAAATTCTTCGCTTATTCTGTTTAGTTCTATTTACTGACCGCCAGTGCCTGAGTGTATAAGACATAGTTGTTATAATTATTTTTTCTCATCACAACATTCAGACACTCCAGCTGCCACATTAAAAAGACCACGCCCTATTTCTCCAGCAGAAATAACTGAGGACACCTACAGGGAAATGTTGGTCAAACACAGGAGAAGACAACTCTATGATGATTATGATGAAGAGGTAACCTCCCTTTTCATATTTCTTAATAATTGCAGATGAAATATGTTACCCTATGCTAATTAGTGTTGAGAATAACCTGTCTTGTTTAATATCTTTTATATGATATAAATACTTCATGATTTGGTTAATCATGTCTGCAAATGTAATTGGTAAATACACAAATATATACTTATAGAGTAAATGAAGTAAATTGTTTATTATTTGTGACATTTACATTATCAATTACTAATTAACAATCATATATAAATTTTAAAGCAGCCAACCCTATGGTAAATCTTTACAATTTTGATTTTAGATTAAGTACAAAAGGTAAAAATATCTATAACATTTTAGAGAGCCTTAGGATTCATGTAAAAGACATACAAGATATATTAAAAGGTGAATAAAAACTTTAGGATATTATTTTTATAGGAGCATCCTGAATACAACACACAGAATATAAGCTTACAGGATGTGATGGCCAGATGTCAGGCGAGTAGAAAAGGTGGCATAGAACCAGATGATGGTATGCTATTGTTACATTATCTCATTGTGTCACAATGGGGATATTTCATGTCATTTATGTATAGAATAGTTGATAATGTAGTTATTGGAGATACCCTGTTTGAGTTTTGATGACTTTGAATCATTTACCACTCAATGTTTCTGATAGAAATGTAATAGAGGTCTCGCAATTATTTCATGTAAGTTACCTGGCTAGCTTGTGGAAAGTTTGTGGTTCTACTAAAGTGCAGGCTTTTATCTACATATATAAATGGAGTAATTGTTATCTGGGATATTCTTTCATTGGGTTCAGCTTGAAAATTACCATAATACAAATAAAACTTCCTACCTTGTAAGAAAAAAACACAAACAATTGCTGGTTTATCTTAACTTGCATAGTTAATATATTGAAATAAAACTTTCTGTTAGTTTTCTTTGTTTTATATGTTCAAAATGTCTATTGTCAACATCTTTTTAAGGGAACATTTATTTCTCAGACTATTCCTCTGAACAGAAGTTAGTGAAAAGTTTGAAAGCACTTAATTCTGAGTTAAACTGTACCACATATAATGGGCATTTATTGGCCTGGTTGCACAGGTGCAAACCCGGGTTATAGTATGGTGAATGTCGAGCTTTAGAATATTTTTTATTTTCCTACTGTACATTGTACATTTACTAGTGTTGAAATATTAAACAAAAATCTGTAAGAACATTACAAATTAAACTGTCTGTTAAAGTAAATGGATTTTTCTTTTTTCCAAGATGAGTTAGAGTTTCCATCAATGTCACCAACAAAAGGGAAAATAAAAAAGGAAAAGCCAGAAAAACGTGTACGTAAGAAAACAGCAAAGAAAATACGTGACATGGATTTCTCTGCTGCGTCATCGGCCGGGGGCATGGGAGATGATGATGACGATGAAAGTAGAACGAATGCCAGTATTGATATAACGGAAGATGATACCAGCACTGTAGACCAGTTTCCTATACAGTAAGTTTGTGTAATGTTAATATTCTTGTATTGGGGTTAGGACAAATAAGTCAAAAACCAGCACAAATTTAAAATATATTGGGAATAAGCATTCTTGTAGAGTTTTCATGAGCTGCTAGTTTTGTGTTTAGTCTATCCTAGAAGTTTGTGATATGCCAAGATTTTTATTAGTAACAATTATTTTGCTAGGAAAACTGAAACATTTTTGATTTTTATAGAGTAAAGTAATTTTTGTAGAGTTTTCATGAGCTGCATGTTTTGTGTTTAGTCTATCCTAGAAGTTTGTGATATGCCAAGATTTTTATTAGTAACAATTATTTTGCTAGGAAAACTGAAACATTTTTGATTTTTATAGAGTAAAGTAATTTTGTCATATATGGAATAAAATAGTAGTCAGTCGCTTACATTTAAATTTTAGTTATATATTTTAACAGTGATTGTTTAGTTATGCTGGGTATGCCTCATACATAAATGTACTTTATTACCACCAAAATTTTGTTCTCTTTGTATATTTGAACTGTGACTTTAAAATCTTTTCTCACTGAAATATTATAGGTTTGAATACAGCACAGTTAGAATATGGTATTAAAGTTCAATAAAGTACCAAAGTTTGCTTTGAATCATCAGTTTTATGAAAATGTGTATTTTTTTTAGGTCCAGTAAAACAAAAGATGAGTTGAGTCAATGTGCATGTTTCTTCAGCTTATTGAAAAGTATCATAGTAAACTCACCAGATAATAGAATCTCAGCTGTAAAGGTAAGTGTCTTGATTTTGAAAACCTCTGATAACCTTTGAGGGTACAAATATATTTTTAGCTCAGGTAAATTAATTAGCTAAGTAGCTAAGCTTGGTGACTTTGAAACTTTTGCCTGTAAATGACATTTGTTTTTTTATGCGGGCCTATAGATTTGTCCTTGTTCTTGTACCATAATTCCTCCCCCCTGGTTCTGTCCTTTTGATGGGTTTCCATGGCTAGTAGTTAGTTCATTGACTTAAAACCCCCTGACCCTCAACTCTTTATAGTTCAAATCAAACATGGAACTTCGAGTTATTTCTTCAAAGAATATGACCAGTGGTTCTACTCAGGTCTGAAATAACAAAGGGGCACATGTGTCCTTCCTGCACCAGTAAAGCAAAAAAGTCTCCATATAACCAGTACAGTGTGGGTGTGACTTAAATACCAATAATGAAAAATAAAAATACTATTAAATGTCTTTTACCCCACTGTTGGTAACAGTTAGTGTTGCCTGCAACTCCAAACATGCAACTGCAAGAGCTATGAAAATTTCTTAGAATAGGTATCAGTATGTGGACTAAAGCACCTTGTTATTTTGACACAAATTTATTGAAGATCAGATAAAAAAGGCCCTATATTAATTTAAAAAAAAGCATTTTTAAACTTGTTTAGCATATAACTCCAAAAGTATAAATGCTGGAGCTACATGTATGAAATTTTCTAAGAATATTTGTTTGTTAATTTGAACATTCTGGTACTTAGTCACATACATGCATTGATTGGAGCCTAGCAATAGCAGAGGTATGCTCCAAAACTTTACATGTATAAGTGCTATGTTTATACACATCATAAATTGTATAGAATATTTTGTGACAATAAAGCTGAATATGTAGGCATCTATGCTATTGACACATTTCTAATATCATGTGAGAAACTACTTGAACAGCTTTTGGAAGGTCTTTCACTTAATTTAGTTGCCTTCATAGTCTGAAATAATGCACACAAGTTCCATTCTACCAGTTTAGCTTAAAAACTTTCCTTTTGATTTTAACATGATCAGTATGGCAGAAAAATCAACCATGAAATTATTCTGTACACTTAAAAATGTATTTCAGTTGGAAGAGAGAGTTCGAGACTGGCAGGAGTCACCGTTCAGTGATGAGTGTACCTGGGTGTCGGCACAGGATGACTGGGTAGACCTTGTTTCTTCAGCACTCAAATTTCTAGCTGGAGAAACTATAGGTATGGCTGTATTTTTTTTGTCATTGAAAGTTAAAGAAAATTCAAGAACTAATATGTTCATTTCAAACTGAATCTTTGCATTTCTATTAAACACTAGGTTCTTATTTAGGCATTGCTATTGTAGTTAAGGATATATTGCATCAAATTTGTAGATAGTTCTTTTGGGCTTGAAATTTGAGCTCTTAAATTTTGGAGCAATGGTGGCCAAATGGTTAAGGTCGGTGACTTCAAACCACTTGCCCCAGGCCGATGTGTGTTCAAATCCTGTTTGGGACTTCAGATTCTTTCATGTGAGGAAGCTATCCATCTAGCTTGCTCATGCCTGAAATAATGCACAGATGTGCACCAGAGGTCTTTCCCCACCAGTAAAGCTGTTAAGTCACCATACAACATTTACAGTGAAGAAAGCTCTCAGTTAATGACTCTGAGTGCCTTTTCAAATGTTATTTATGAACATTGTTATGATATACATTGCAGGTATGTTATAATACACATTCAGGTATGTTATTATACACATTTCAGGTAAATGTATGTTATTATACACATTTCATGTATGTTATTATACACATTTCAGGTATGAATGTAGATCAGTTTATACCATATCTGGACTATAAGGAGCGTGCACAACAGTGGCACTGGATCGGTGCTGGTAGAGATTCAGATGAGAACCTGCTGAAATGGTGCAATCACTGGCTCAAACACAAAGGGGAGGTGTCTGAGCTTATCATTGACTCTAGCCAGGGCTCGCCACCACCGGCTAGAATGTAAGATATTATTCTGTAAATTTTTCCAGTAAATCTTTCCTTTATATTGAGAATACTTATGATAGTTTAGTTATATTTATAGGCAGTGTTGGGTCTTGCATTTGTTAAGTTTGAGTAGTTTGGTGTAGTGCAGGTATGTCTGGAACAATTAGCTTATAAAGGGTCATCAAATTCTATTCACAATTTACTGCTGGTTCATATTTATGACAGTTTGACATTTGCTTGATATGTTCAGATTCATAACTTTTGAAACATGTAAATGAATTAAAGATACTGAAATCATAGGGACACCTAGTTTTTCTGTATCACTTATAGATAAAATATTGCATCAGAAGTGAAACAGTGTTGTAATGAGTTATAACCAAACTAACTGATAAAGAAAATAACAATTTGTATTACAGAAGAACTGGATATGTGGTCAAGGCAACATCTGAGGAGGAAAAGGCAGATTTTCAGAGACAGGTTAGTATAATGCTGTAACATTATAAATATATTTTCCTGAAGAGTTGCCTTCTAAAATACACAATTCTTATTTTTTGTGATGGACATATCAAGTTTTGTTATCATTTTAAGAGGTTTCTTTAACTCACCTGCCAACTGTATGTTAACTTGCCAGTCTGTTTGTTGGCAATAAACAGTAATCTTTATTAGAATCATGATGATTTGATTGTAGTGTTTATTATGAGGCAGCTTTAAAGCAGCATACCTCCAGATTTATGCTAATTTTCATGAAAATTTTAAAAATTTATCTGAATGTTTGATATTGTGAAGTAATCAAAAGGCAGCAATGTACACATTTTCAATGGCACGAACAACCCCCTTAAATTATCAAAAAGTGGTCAAAATATGCATAAATAGCCATTACTGTGTTAGTAACGTAGTAGAAATATAGTTGTAAATACTGCGCAGGCTGGTCTGGATCCATATTGGTCGCAAACCCATTATGTTGGTTTTGTCGTGACGCGGCTCATATTGACATTATTTCAGGAGAAATTGAGGTTCGCAGAGCCGCATAAAGCATATACATACGAGATGCATGGTTACCAGTCAGTCGTAGGACCAGTGAAGGGTGTTTTCAGCAAGAAAAACGACACAAATAGAGCGAGGGAACACGCGTTACTTATCTCCAGCAGGCCTGCATTTATAACTATATTAACCTTAGGTATATCTTTAGTCTGGTTGTGAATACAATTTTTTTTACATGTGTTGATTTGAATATCGCATTCGATTATGACATTATATATGTTAAGAGCTAATAATCTGCATGTACATGTAGCTCTCTAAAGGTCTTTGTTCTTGTCAAGTACCTGTTTTAGCAATTTCTCCACAAATTCAGATTAAGTTATAAACTATAGACTAAGTTTAGAAGTTTATTTTGACTGTGCAGTGAGGGAACAGAATAAACTTATATGTTAAACTGACGGTTAAATTGTCTTGCATCATTCTTGCCTTAATAACGCATTAGTCATTGTCTTCTGTAGTTGTTGTTTTCCATTTCCATATACATTCTTTGTACCAATGCAATAAATTCAAAAGAGATTTATAGTTATGTAAAGATAAGAAAACTACATGTATTTGTTTTCAGTGAGGGATTCTGTTGCTAGGTTACCAAATGGAGAAGGAAATAGGGCTGAGATTTGTGAACTTCTTAAAGATTCACAGTTTCTTGCACCAGGAATTACTGATGCACAGGTGATATCATATATTTAGATATTTAATTGAAATTATGACATAAATATACTAAAAATGGTGCTTATACCAACTATGTCTAATCCTGTTTCTCAGGGTGTGGAGATTTGCCCTGCTGTTTTATTTAGTTTGATAACAAACTTTTACAGAGCTTATTGAGGACTTTTAAGTACTGGATAGATAAATGGAATCTTGCTTTAAATAGCTAAAGATTGGACGCACTTGTCATATAATGATGTTTAATAGATTGGTTAGGTAACTTAAAATAGTTCTCTGAGATTTGACCAATGTTTTCTTGCAATACTATTGACCACAACTTAAGGAAAAGCAAAATGCATGTGAGTGCAAAATGGTACCTATATAAAATGAGTTAAATAATTGGAAATAAGTCTAAAAAGGGGCACAAAAGATCATGACTGTGCAGAATACAAACAGTTGAACATTTCTTTGTCATTTCAATGCTTGTTCATGTGACGTCATCACATGTGACTGGTCTATTTTAAGAAATGCCCATGACTCTTAGTAAATAAAGTATAATTGCTTTTTAGATCATTGCTTGTCTTTGAAAAGTAAATGCATTCATGCGGGTAGTTTTAACCAATAATGCCATATATGCATGCATAACATAGAATGTCTCTGTTGAATATTATATGTAAACAGAATAAAATGTTCCATGTTGAATATTATGCGTAAACAGAATGAAATGTTCCATGCTGAATATTATATGTAAACAATAAAATGGTCCCCGAACAAAACAATATGCTGCTCTTTAAGTACTGCTTTAACCATTTAGCAATGATTTTGTGCATGCACCATTTATTTGAAAGAAAATATACAAACATATTTCTACGATACAGATATTCTAGAAGAAATATTTGTTCAAAATTCAAACAATAATTGACTTAATTACATGTAGTACATATATAGTTTTATACACTGTAACAGCATTTTATCTATTTTTACACACTTTATAAAGTCACAGAATGTAAGTTAAAATATTTTTATTGTATTTAGATCAACGTTGTTGTAAGTGGAGCTCTTGATAGGCTTCATTCAGAGAAGGACCCTTGTGTAAAGTATGATGTCAACAGTAAAGTATGGATCTATCTGCATAGAAATAGAACTGAGGAAGAATTTGGTAAGACAATGAAGTTTGTAACTTGAAATAAATTTGCTGTAGATGTTCAGAGAAAATATAAAGTCCCATATGCATCCTGGTTGAGCTTGTTAAAAAAATATCTAGCCTTTTATTACTCTAATTTGCTCTTATGACCATGTATATTAAATGGTTTAATATGACCACTCCAGATTCCCCTGTGTGTGTATTTGAGTTTATTTATACTCACCACTGTTTGCCCATAATTTTGGACAAGTGCTCCAGAAGAAAATTAGTCATTTTAGATATTGGAGGATAGTGTTTCAAATGCCAAATTGAACATTGACTTTGATTTTGATATAATGACCTATTTTTCTGTTGAGAGCTACAACATTTAAATGTGGACCATGTGCACACTTGCTGATGAAGGATTGAAATTGGATATTACTTGACCTTGATGAAACAAACTGCTCATTATTCAGCTCTTGTTAGTGGTTATCCTGATTTAATTCCTTCAATGAAATAAAGAAACCTTGGGAAAAAAAGAGACATAGAGGATATTTGTTTAGTTCAGTGTAAGATCGGAATATATTTCACCGAGTGAGCACCAAAAGGTATATTTCACGAGTGGCGCAGCCACGAGTGAAATATGAACTTTTGGTGTTCACAAGGTGAAATATATTTCGATCTTACACTAAACTAAACAAATTTTCTTTTTATTAGATGCAAAGAAACGTTTTAAAAAGACATTAAACCTAATACTGAATGAATAAGGGCGATAAATAATAATACGTGACGTCATTTACAACGTGACATCATTAAGTTGGTACCCAGTACTGTGCACGCTGGTATTTTACTGAAGCAACCCAAGGGACTTTAATTCAAAACAGTGAAATTATCAAAGTGGTAATTTCACTGTTTCAAACAGTGAAATTACCAGTTTTATATCACTGATATATTTCTATAAACCACCGAAAAGCATGTAATAAAGTCTTACTATTATATACATGTATATACTTTTGTGTGTTTACAGAAAAAATCCACCAAGCACAAGCTGCTGCACAAAAGGCTAAGAAATCTCTTGCTAAGCAAAAAACATCAAAGGCAACGGCAGTATGTATTCAAATAAATTAATGTCATTCTCTATGAAGCTAATTTATGTCATAAATGATTATTTTTCTATTTAAGATTTTTTTTCTATTTTAATGATACATAGGATATTTATTGTTTTTTTTTTTAAAATAGTATGGCTGATATTTTGAATGAGCAAGTAAAAGATTCTCATGACACTCCAGTTTATTCTCTTAGAGCTGACAGTTTTTCTTGTAAATAACATGTTATGCCCTTGTATGATAGGATTTCAACCGTGATATTTATTCATAACTTAACTATGGGTTTAAAAGCAACATATGTGTGTGTAATTAAGATGTTACACCAACTGCTCCCCAAAAATTCTAAACATTGAATCAGGGTCTGTTAAAGAGAATCACATCTTAAGCTACCTTATCAGTATTTAGAGAAAAAAAACAACAAAAAAACCTCTGCTGCAATAGAAAGTTTTCAAACCAGTCTGTGTAATGCAATGCTGAATCATGAACTGTTTTGGTTTTTTTTGTTCATTTTTACATTACAGTTGTCTTGACACTACCCTTATTTCTAAGTTGCAAATAATAGTTGCCATGTATATGATGATTGAATGTATTTATTTCAGCCAAAGTTACGAGACATGGCAGCAGTGCCTGCAAGTGGGCCAACTTCTTTGGGGTTAACTCCATCTTTAGGTTCCAGTTCAGAGAGTATCAATGTAGAAGACTTGAGCCCAGGTCAGTTGGGCTCCCAAGCTCAACTCTTGGCAGGGACAGCTGCCCCAAATGTCAAAGTTCCAGCCAGACAGGTAAGGGCTGTTGAATTGAATTTAAACTGCAAAGCTTGTATTCATGTACTGTAACATCATTATTATTCATGTGGTACTAATTTTCGTGCTTTTAGTGGATAGGTCAATATCCACTAATTTGATATATGGATTTTCATTATTATGTTACTTGCATTGCATTTTACAATTTTCTTATTTGCAAAAAAAAGACAACAAATTTTAGAACCCACGAAAAATACCTCCTTTTGGACAAAACCACGAAATTTCATGCCTATTAAGTAAATTAACAGTACTTCACATTAATAATAATTATAACATCAATTGATTTGTAAGTAAATTAATTGTTTGTTAGATTCTGTAGTAGTACAAAAAAATGGTAAGTTCAGTAAATATACATAAGTTTACTGTTTTTTGGGGTAAATTCACCATTATTTTTTCTCCTGGTTGTAAAGAGGAATTACTTCCTTCCTGTTCATCAGTGTACATTTGCTTAAAGTGGTTTGACTTACCTGAAGAAAATGTAGAGAATATTTGTTTTAACCCAAGTTGTTGTAGTGTTCATGTAATCTGGTTTAGAGACATTTGTGTGAATAGGTAGTTTAATATAAAAATTATAAAAAAAAAATGATAGGTAGGTTAATATAAAAAATAATGATTTAAAGGGACTTAACTGAGTTTTTTTTTTTGACATAATGGGACTGGAATTATATTTTTTGAGATTTGCAAAGCATTTGACAAAGGGCTTGATTCAAAATTTTACACAATTTCTACACTTAGTTTTTCCAGACTAATCATTTCAATTGTTGAAAATGATCCAAATATGAAATTTTAATATTAAATCATATCAGCCTAAAACTCACACCAAAAAGGGTTTCAATTTAATTCTGTGAATATGTCCTTTTGCACATTTTCCTATTTTCCCATTTTACTGTAAGTGCCCAAGTTGATCTACATCTTTGTAATTATTCTAAATGTTTTTAGCAAGATTTTAGGCTGTTGGACCTCAGTGAAGCTCCTCTTAGCCCAGTCTTGCCCGAAAACTTAATTGATTAGAACAGACTCGATTAACCTGAGTCTGCAACATTTTCAATTGTGCCATTTCAGGCATTCTTTAAGGAGTCTATTTTCTATATTTTATATACATCATAATACATAGATATATTAAAAAAGACTTGATCACAACTAACCTCAAGTATGTAAGCATCAATTGTAATATAACTACCTATTTTCCCATGTAACGATTGAGTGTCACCAGAAAGGGATATTACCCTGATGATATTGTTCAAAAGAAACAACGTCATAACGTCATAAAGATCGGCGCTTAATTATACCGTCTGTTATTTAAGAAATAGAAATAGATTTAAGAAAAGAAATAATAAGAAAAACGTTATTATATCAAGTTTTCAACAATTAAAACTTACTTCGTATTGTGTTCACACCATTGCCCCATTTATCATTCTTGTATGTATGAAATAACGTCAGCTTGTTTATGAATGAGTTGTTTACTTAGGATGACGTCATTACGCTGCTTACGGATTGGCGCCGTTTTGTTAAAATATTTATTAACTGATATGAATCAAATATGTGGCGTTAGTGTATGTGAGATATTATTTCGGTATTGTATGAAACGAAAACATTATAAGAACTGAAAATATAAATAAAAATGCTTTTTATTGTTGCTTTAAAAGGCTTTGTAAACTATATAATCGAGGGTGAAAACATAACAGCCGCATATACAAGTAGTCCCTAACCAGTGTTTATTGGCAGTTTAACACCGGTTTTTTCCCTTCTTTGTCTATAGTGACAAATTCACGTGAGTGTTAGAATAGAAAGTAATAGTTAATAATGACTCTACGACCAATCAAAAACAATGTTGAGTAAAACAAACATGTGTAGATTACAGATTCAGACGGGGTTCTTTCTGTTAGATTTACAAGGATAAATTCAAAAGGCATTTTGATTATTTACCTGATTTTAAATGGAATCAAATGATGAAAATAGCTTAAAGAAAAAAAACAACTTCTGCGCTTATCATTCACTTATTTAGGACTTGCTTGTATGAATAATGAAATGAATTAGACAACTTTGATAAAATTGCTAAGAGGTTTTTATATAGATACTAGCATAGATTGTGTTTTTATTGGGGGTAGATATATTGCCACCTTAATGCAGTAACAGGTTAACTCCTTGTATAATTTTAATAGGAGTTATCTTGTTACTGCACTAAGGTGATGATATGATTTAAATGAAACATTTCCTGTTCTGAATTATTAAGGTTAAATTTGTCATGTAACAGATATTTTTATGAAAGATGAAAAGTTGCACATTTGATCATGTTACAGTTATACTTTTAGTGATTTTGACAAAAAAAAATTTTTCTTACAAAAGAACGTGATCTGAAAACAAAGTTAAGGAAGGAGTTCGACCAATTTTGAAATTGGAGATATATGTCTTAATGATAAGGGACTAAATTTTAATGGTTATCATGATTTTTAAGACCTGTCATCATAATAAGTCTTAACTTACTTCTTTAACTAAGATGATGCTAGCCGCTATAATTTTAGTACAGTAGCAGTCTAGAATCAATTTGCATATATTGTGACCAAAGTAAACATGGTAAAGGTGGTGTGCGTGTGTGTGTGTGTGTGTGGGGGGGGGGTAGTTATACTGCTAATATAGTACATGTAGTACTGCTAATATTAAAATCTTTGAAATTATTGAAAATTCAGGACAAAGAAAATCTGTTTCTCAAATGCAGCAGTTAGAAGGCTGAATAACACTTTCAGAATTAATTTGATAAATGATATCCTAATTGTAGCCAGTTTATACCTGGACAAGCAAAGCCAATTACATTGGTTTGCTTGTATGTTTGAAGATTTGATGTTTGGAGTCTCTTTAATTTCATCTTTTTATTTTTACATGAAAAGGTATCAATTATACATTTTAATGTCCTCTTTCAATGTTTTTCAATGAATCACCATCACCATCAGATAATAATCTCTATGCATCTCAAGGAAGGTAAGGTAGTGACATAAAAGAAATTATCATTGTTAACAGATTCTTTAAAGGTTTAATTGCAATCTATTCACAGTTCTGAAACTAGATATGTAACTAGATATGTAGAAAATTACTTCATTTCCTGATATTATCTTCTGAATGGCATTAAGGGTAATAAAAATTAGGGTAGTATATGATACGAGGGGTAATCCAGAAAAAAACTGGAATTAAGCTATAAATTCAATAATATTTATGAGCTGTTCACACAACAAACTCTGTATAAATGGGTAACATATCCTCTTTACAAGGAAACAAGAATTATAACAATGAAACACTTTGGCCACCACATGCATATCTTAGAAAACATAGTGTCACAATAGGGACTACGATGGGATACCAGGCCGACCACAATTGCTATCTAAAACAACCAACAACTCAGAACAGAAAATATATACAAATTTATTTACAAGAAACGAATATTTATAAATGAAAAATGATTATATATGAAAAATCACTGCGCAAACAAACACTATCAACGTATCTCAGTCTATTTCTCCCATAAAGTTTCTGTCATGATGTTTCAATAAAGTGGTGGCGTTGTTGAACAAAATTCGTCACAATGGCGGGCATCTTGTATAAAATCTTATCAAGCGTAACTGTACTTCCTACAGTGTTGGCACAGTTGATAGGATCCTGAACAAGGGCATGCGTCACCCTTTAGCCATGGACATACTTGTGGGAGGGCCCGTGTCATCTTCGGGTGTGTCCTCAAATAAGAAGCTACAAAGTATAAAACATGATAAGTTCCATGATAATCAAACATAAGGGTATAATAAAGTCCCTTGGAAAAGACTCGACCTTTGTCGGTTTCCAATAAAATAACGTGCTTCTTTGAATAAACAAAATGTCCACTATAGTACACCATACATTCCGCGGAACAAAAATTCAATCACATCCGCATAATACTGCGTTGCAAATATATTCAAATATACGCCACATAATAACCATCAATAAATAAACGTCTTCCAAAATCATGCCACTGAAGATTCTTCTTTAGAGATACGTTAGTTTTGATACATTGTATTTACTTATAACAAAAACTGATGAAAAATGAAATGAAGTAAGATGATAACGTAAATTAAATTGATTGAAACAAATCATTACGATACTGCAGCATTTTACATAAAGTTACACAAATACGGTAGAACCATAATAGATTATTTATGAATAGATATATATATATCTATAAAATATTCATGGCTCCTATACAATTACAATATAATTAAAACTTCAATTAACATACATCAATTAACATGTCTCGGTATAAATTTGCAATAGCGAAACACTAGAATAAAAAGAGCTTTTAAAATTTAATCTGCAAAAATTTAGAAAATTTAGAAAACAATAAATTCCTGCCAAATAACTAAACCTGAATCAAATAAACTATAATTCTAATAGAAAATAGTATTTTACGAAATAACAAAAATTTATGAAACAAAATCACTAGAAAATTAAATTTACCTTGTACAAGCTGTAATTTTATGACAAATATAATTTGTCTGTCACCGTCATAGTGACCTGTATAACGTCCAGTGCATTGCAATATATCACTTAAAATTTAGTCATTATATAGCAAACTACTGAGTACTGAGTGGGAAAAAGGATCGTGCAAAACATGAAAAATCGATTTACCCGAAATAAAGCTGGGACGGCGTGAAAAATAGTTATGTAAAATAAAGGCCCGTCCTTCAAATACAGACATAATACATATATCTGGTTCATAAAACAAAAATGTAACTTTCTTATTACTGAAAGGATTTTTGTGAAATAAACGGCAAGATGTTTAAATTGAGACATGGAAATTTATGCAAACCATAAAAATACCCGAAAACTCTAAATTGAACAAAAAGATGATGCAATCTCACATCAATGAATATAGAGTAAAAATGAGGTTCGGTGTGAAAATATAATGCAAGATTTTACAAACGTTCTTTCACTTTGTGACACATAGTAATGTGCATACAGCGCAGTCTGAATGTTAAAATTTCATAATTGTCATAAGCATTGACGTAAAAAACATACTTAATGTTTTCCAAGTATT